ACTGATCGGCACCCCATACACGCGATCCGCCGGCTCTACAGCCGGCGGATCGCTTGTATGGTGACAGGCATCGCTGCCTGTTTTTAAATTTCGGCCATTTCCCGCTCGCGCGCGCCGCTCGGGGTGCGTGTCTGAGCGGACGTCTAAAGACGCCCGCTCAGATCTAGAGAGCTCGGGCCGGCCGTTTTTTTACTACGGCCGGCCCGGAGGTGGTTAAACCCCTGCCAGGTTATGTGTCCCTTTGGAGAGATTTCACTTCCTGTCCTGGAGGTACAACAGGAAAGAAGAGGAAATGCATACACGCAGAATTCCCCTTTGCGGACACGTTCATCATTGGTGACAACTTTAAAATGTTGGATTTCCCATTACTTTTAGACAATGGTCACCATGACAGATTGCTCCCTGTAGGGGATGTCTGAAATACATGTGAAGCCTCCCTAGGGCCACACAGGAGCCGTGAATTATGTATAACATGTATGTATAACCAATAGAGAGTGGTGAGGGATTGGAGTCCCTGTCAAGGATTTATTATTGTATCCTCTCCAGGTGACCACTGGACCACGGTTTTCCTGTGTTTTCTTGCCTAGTAACTAGCTTGCCATTGGCTAAAAATAATAATAATAAATACCCTTCTTTTGGGTCAGATTTGTGTTTAGGCTCCAATAAACTTCAAAGGGAGAGTTTAAAAAAAAAAAACACGTTTTCTTGGCTAGTAACTAGCATTCCATTCGTTTTTTTTATTAAAAAAAAAAAACGCTCAAGCCCAAACGTGCATAAAAATGCCTGTATAAATACTACAGGGAGGGCCTTCCAGAGTTAGGTGGTCTGGAGTGAGGAGTAAAGACGAACGCAGGGTTGCTCTGGTGATGCTTTTTATGGGCTAGCTAGTGGTAGTCATATGGGGTCAGGGGGTGGAGGGTAGTCCTGTGGGGTCAGGGGGTAGTATGAGTATATGATTATGCTGACATGAATGGTCAGGTTGCCATCAAAGCTATATTAGGAATTAGAGTCGAGACTCCCTACACCTGGGATGGCCAAACTGCGTCCCTCCAGCTGTGGTGGAACTACGAATCCCATGAGGCTTTGCAAGATTCTCACAGCCACAGACATGACTCCCGGAGAGAGATGCTTCATGGGATTTGTAGTTTCACCACAGCTGGAGGGCCGGAGTTTGGTCATCCCTGCCCTACACATATAAACTAAGATGAGAGACTCTAACTTCACTGTAAGCCAAGTATTTTGCACAGGGGACACAGATCTGTAAAGGACCAGCTGTGAACGGAAAATATTTATTATTTTATAATGATTATTATACCTGTTTGAAAAAAGTGTTTTTATTTTTGCCTGCCTCTTTTTCTTTTAAAGGGTAAGTGCACTTTAAAGAATAAGTGTTCTTCTTTGCACCCCCAGTTCCCCTCAACTTCCTCCCCCTCCACAGATCCGTACTTATTGGGATCCAAGGGCTGCTGCTCTGTTTGTTGACATCCAGAGCTGCAAGTCTCCCTCTCCTTGCCACAACCGTTTTCCCAAGTGGGATAGGGCCCCATAGATTGAGTTCATAATCTCTTTTTCTGCAGCCTCAGCACTCAATGAACAGGAAGCTTTCAGTACAGAGGCTTCCTGTTCATTCAGTCTGGAGATAGTAAATTTACTATCAGGCCAGTCATGAATGGACAGGAAGTCTCTGTACTGAGCCGCCTCCTGTTCATTCATAAAGTGAGCGGATCGTAAATATTTACTATGTCCCCATTCATAAATGAATAGGAAGTGATGTGTAACACTTACCTGCTCATTCATAACTGGGAATATAGTAAGCTTACTATGTCCTCAGTTATTTACAAACACTCATTGTCAGTGATCAGTATTGTGCTCCGTTTTCCATCCTGACTGCTCCGGCTGTCACAAAAGCCGAGCTCTCCTCCCGCACCGCCCCGCTCGGCCTCCTGGCAGCTTTTCTCCTCCCTGCTGGGTGTCAGCAGCTGGATCAGCTCTGTGACCCCTCCAGTCCCCGCTGCCTCTGCCGATACAAGTGGGGGAGAACAGCGGGAATCTGAGGGGACACAGAGCGAAGCTTGCAGCCAGCGACCAGCAGGGAGTAGAGAAGCTACGAATGCACTGCATTTTCATCTGTCTTTGTACTATCGCCATTTTGCCTATAGTACCATTTATGGCCGAAATTTTGGTGCATCCCTAATCCTAACCGATCCCACCCTTCCCCTGTTCATGTTTCCGAGAGCTCGGTTAGGTCAGCTTCAAGGAGCCAAATTAATATGTATACTTTGCCTTAAAGTGTACTTATCCTTTAAGTGTACATTCTGAAACCTGCTTAGCATTTTCATTGTTTTTGCTTATTATCCTTAATACATTTAAAATATATATATTCTTTTGTCTCTTTAGGGCCACTTTGCAATCATGGAATTTTAAGAAGAAGAAACGTCTTCAGAGCGGGGGGAGCTCCCCTCCCTCTGACCTAGCTGCCTCCTCTCTGCGTTGGACTCATGGCAGGAACTTAAAAACAGAGGACTGTAGCACATAGTTCTATTTTTGTATAGACGTTAAGGACAGCATTGGCTGGTTTACATTTGTACAAATATTTATTATTAATAATATAGTGCCAAAGGAGTTTTGACACTCACAAATGAAGGAGACAATGTTTGTTTTTCTGTTGTGTGGCTGATCTGTGCTTTTGGAATCTGCTAATATTTAAGTAGTTTTTCCCCCCTCCCCCCAAAAATGGATTTGGTATGGCCAGAATGTACGACACGGTGCCGCTCTCTGCAGCATGCTTTGGATGTGATCTCGGTAGTGACCCGGGGAAGTGAGCAGCAAATTAAGGCTTTCCTCTCCTCCTACTGCTGCAATGCCACTACATTAAAGGATGATTATGGGCGCAACGCTCTTCACATTGCCGCGTCCTGTGGAAAGAAAGAAGTGCTGGATTGGTTGGCGTCAAAAGGGGTGGACTTGTCGGTGAAAGACAAAGAATCTGGGTGGACAGCATTCCACAGAAGTATCTTTTATGGGCATATTCATTGTGCATTTTCTCTCTTAAAGGTAATGTAGTTCTCATAAACCGTTAGTCTCCATTCACATCTGTGTTTAAAGCAGGGGCGCACCGATAGTGTTTTTTCGGTATCAAGTACGAATACCGATATCTATCTTTCAGTACTTCCGCTAGCATGGAGCCGGCTTTCCGGGCAATCAAGAAGCCGAGCGGCGGATAATGGCACACCGCCCAGCTTTCTGATTGCTCGGGAAGCAGGCTCCATGGTAGCGGAAGTACTGTTATTGGTACTCGGTCTCGGTGATTACCGAAAGATGAATATCGGTACCTGTACTTCATATGAAAAAAACGTTATCGGTGCATCCCTACTTTAAACATACAGTTTTTTGCCAGCTCGATGCTGATTGGCCGGGAAGCCGGCTTCCCAGCCAATCAGCATTGAACCGGCTTTTTGGCTGGCTTGATGTTCATTGGCCAGGAAGCCAGCTTCCCAGCCAATCAGCATCGAGCCAGCTTCTTACTCGGGAAGCTCGGGGGCAGGTCATTGGCCGACTTCCTGATTGGCCGGGCAGCCGGCTATACAAATGATACCATTTGTATTATTAAATTGGACCTCATGTTATTACATTTCCTTTCGGTGTTGCTTTTAGCGTTCCGTCCGAAAACATGGAATGAGAGTGTTGATGGCAATGGCTAGACAATTCTTTATACAAGGGACCTATTATATTTATAGGGAACTTGTCCTAATCTTTCTAAACTGGATCAGCTGACGCTCCAGTCTAGGGCTGTCATCATTAATCTTGGGAGAGGTGCTACTTTTAGGGCAAGCATATCATCTTTGGACTATAGTTACTTCTGGGATTCGGGCTGCTCTGGATTGGAGCCTCATTTCAGAAAAGGGACATATGGATCTGACAGCCTTTAGTATTCTGTGGTGGATAACATGGTGTGAATTGTCACTTCATCTGATGTTTTGTCTACTTCCAGCTTGGGAGTAATCTGCACGTTCAGGATAAAGATGGATTTTCTCCCTTGGATCTTGTAATGAAAGACCGTCCTTCCCATGTTGTTTTTCAGAGCAGCGGTAGGTGTATCACTTTTTTTTTTGTTCTTCCTCGGAGACTAGTCAGCACCGACATAGTGTCAGGTGTTATCAACTTATGGTAAGAAAGTATAGAAAATAGCATTACATATAAATACTTGGTTTTCTAGATTTTTCTATTTTTTAATCTACGACCCACACTTGGTATTTATTACGTGCCTGAAGAGGGTAGTATTACTTCTGCAGAGTAAATCATTTATCTACCCATTGCTAATAGAGGAACCCTCTTTACATGCATCCCCTCATAAGCCATATTGTTATGCCGTTCCACCTGTTCTTAGTATAGCCAGGTTCTCTTGCCAGATAGTGCAGCCAGAATCCTAACAGCAGTACAGCTTGGGCAAGAATACTGTGTCCAAACACACCCACATTGTGCTGATTGGACACTGGAAGAGCAGCAGCATACTGTTGAGGTTATCATTCTGGTTATTCTACTTTCCTCTCTAGTCAACATGTTCCCTAACACTTGTGGTGCATACCGAAAAACCTGACTTCTGCATTGCTTACAGGGGAAGGCGGATAGTAACATTTTGGGTACCGTATTTGCCGGCGTATAAGACGACCCCCTACTTTTTGTGTTAAAATATAGGTTTTGGGCTATACTCGTCGTATAAGACGAGTATAGCCCAAAATAATGTTTAAATGCACCCACTAACATCCATGGCGGTATTCCCGAGTGTGGCTCGGGGTTAATTTTCAGTACCATAAGTGGTAACCCCGGGATTACAGTCTAGATCCCTGCAGCGTCCTCCATCTTCCGGGTTCCGTCCTTCAGCTACATACAGTATACCCGGCGTATAAGACGACTCCCGATTTTCGGGCAGTGTTTTTGGGTATAAAAACCAGTCTTATACGCCGGCATATACGGTACTAGGATTAGTTGTATGTAAAGGAAAACATTCTTAAAAAAGGCATGAAGATTGCAAATGCGTGTTGTATCACTTTCCTATTGATCCTTTTGCTTCAAAGTCGAGCTAAGCGGCATTAGAATTCTATTATAACATTTTTATGTTCATGGTTGGTGAAGTCTAATTGACGTTTGTTTGTTTTTTACTGTAGTGATGAGGATAAATAAAGGTGCAGACTGGGAAACTTTCTTGCCTCCTATGTGAACTAACAAAATTCTAACTATGAGGCCTTGTTCACACCAAGCTCGTTCCAGGAGCAGAGCAGTTACAGACCGGATGAAAACTGCGTCCAATGTATTCCAATGGTATTTTGGGCTCTAGTTCACACTGCAGCGTTCAGTTCCAGAGCATGTAAAAAAACTGCAGCAAGCCCTATTTTACCTGCTCTGGAACGCATGCAAATGCTTTAAAAACGCACTTAAAGCCCATTCTAACCAAAAACGACCCGGAACGCATAAAAAACGCGGCACAACCCACTGCACTGCGTGTACAGAAACACATGCAGATCTGGTCTGCACTTGGTGTGAACAAGCCCTCAACCACCATGTGATTTTTGCTTAGAAAAAAAATCATGCATATTGTAAAGCCCAGAAACCTGTTTAATACATCTGGTATTCCATTCAAGTAGCAGGTCTGGATGACATTTTTAAAGTTATATTAAAGTCAAAAGGTTTTTAAGCTCTTTTAAATGGTGATGAAATCACTTACAATGAATGCTTCTCCTTGATGTCTAAAAGTTTTATTTTACTGCATAATCAGCTGCTTTCTGAGCACTGTCCCTGCTATCATGTTTTTGGGTGGCTCATTTCCCTTGCAGGTTCCTATGGAGCCACCTTTGTGTGTGTGTGTTAGTAACAAGGCAAGACACTCTTCCATCCTTCCTTCTCCAAGCTAGTAGATGGACAGTTTCTGGAACCTGCTCTGTCCTTTGTGACCTCGTATTGGACAGGAAGTTCAGGAAATTGGATCTGAGAGAGTTGGAGCCAGCTGTTTAGGAACATAATAACAAAGAGCTTGGCCGAAAATTTAAGGAAATACTTTTCTGGGCAATGTATATTTGTTTGATCCTGGATTTAATATTGAAAAAAAAAATTGAAAATGTAATACTACTGTAATGGCTTTACAATTAAATTGACTCCGTGACACCGGAATAATATAATTTTGCCATACCTAATGCTAAAATGTTTTTTCTTTCCTAGATCCCACTGAAGTTTTCACGTGGGGAAATAATATTAATTTCACTTTGGGCCATGGAAGCCAACAAAGTAAACATCACCCAGAAGTAGTGGACATGTTTCCTCGCTCAGGCATATATATCAAACAGGTATCATTGATTATTAACATTAAATTCAAGCAATCGGTTATTTTTCACTTTTAATCTGCATTTCTGACTTGAAAGAAGTCTCCAGCGCAGACACCCCTGGGGACACCTTTGCCGTTACTTATTTTTAGCCACCACTACTGACAGGGAGGCAAAAAGCGTTGTTTGTATGATCTGTCGATTCAACAAATGGAATGTTTTTAAGTGATATATGTATTATAATTTGGTGCCTTTAAAGCCCCTATGTTTATATGTAGAGAGTGCTTCCTATAGACCAGGGGTAGTGAATTACATTTCAAGGAGATCCAGTGAATGTCATTTTATTGAGCCGAAGTCCGAGTTGCGTTCCAGACCAAATGGTCACGCAGTTCACGTTCGTGCCGTGCCCATATAGACTGCATCCTCAGCAACAGCTGCATTGCACAGCTGCTGGTGTGTGTTCCCAGGCACAGTGCGGATGTGCCCATCTAGGCGCATCACACTATTTGTTTTTTTTGCTTGATGTGAGCACCCACCCCCTTTTTTACATGCACATGCGTGCCTTACGTGCACGTGTTCACGGCAGGGTTGGTTTTAATTTATTTTTGATTATTTGTTACTTTTTTTTTATCACCTTTAAAAAAAAAAAAAAAAATTTCACTTAAATGTTGCTATCATAAAGGGGCTAACAAGGGGGGTGCACAGATATAAGGGCAGGCAGCACCATCATGGCTACTAGAAGTGATCTAGGTGGCTGTAAACCCGCCCAGATCACTTGTAGTTGTAGCAGCCGACCCTACCTGATGTCATTGGTTGCTAGGAAGCTAGCAGTCCTAGCAGCCAGTGACTGAAGCAGAGGGGCTTATGGCTGTCAGTGGAAGCAGCCAGTGTATCCACTGTTAGCCAGCCATAACCCAGCATAGCTCGGCAAACACGGTCCGCCATTTAGTGACACCTGCTATAGACCTCTGCTGTAGAGTGTTCTTCTATTGCTGCTGGGTTTTTCTTTGGATTGCCCACAAAAGTTGGGTGGATTTGGGTATTCTAGTGGTAACACATCACTGCTGGAGTCCCCAAGTGATAACCTGGAAAATGTGACATTTTAGTTCTGGACAGAGCTGGCCTTTCATTAAAGACTTAATGTAGAAATGAAAGGCTGGTATAAATGTAGTTTTGTTTGAGGTTACAGTCCTCAGCTTTGTAATTTTGTAATTCCTAATGATTTATTAATTCAGAAATATAACGTGGAATAAATTACAATCGGTCAAACCAGCGGAGTAATGTAATACAGGTTACCATGAATCCAGAATAACAGCTGTTTTTCATTTTTTTTCTAGATGGTACTTTGCAAGTTTCACTCAGTCTTCCTGTCTCAGAAAGGGCAGCTTTACACTTGTGGCCATGGTCAGGGTGGTCGGCTTGGTCACGGCGATGAACTCACATGTCTGGTATGTTTGCATATGTAACTCCATCAGGACCTAATAATGGTTGTAATAGGAAAAGCTGTGAAGATCATTGATCATTTAGAAGGATGAAAGAGATTTTTTCCTTAAGGATTACTCGGAGCATTTGAGTTTTTGAAAGAAGAACGCAACATCATGTTCTCCGTCATGAAGTCTTGGGAAATCTGAGGCACCGCCATGTAGGCATCAAATTTAACGTGTAGAATGGGGGGAAAGAAGGGTGACAATATGAAACAAGCTAGGATTGTCTAAGCCATCATTTGTATATCACTTGAACCAGTCTCCTCTTCTTTCTCTTTCTATCTATCTTTCTCTTTTATACATTAAATCACAATTACCTATTAATCGCTGAAAACTGCTTCCAACTGTTTCTGTTTAAACTTGACAGTATTTTAGCTTTTATTCTCGGTCTTCATAATATGTTCTACTTTTTTTTTTTCAAAGGACAACTTTCAGGAAAAATCTTTGGGGAGGAGATTGATATATAATAAAGTAGCACTAAAGCTTTAGTTTTTCTTCTTCAGATACATTCTGCTTGCCCTATTAATCACTTTCCAATGAATGATTCTTTCATAGAATGGCCATAAACACTCACATTTACTTCATGTGAATGGTGCAGCCTCCAGTTTCCTCTGTGCAGCTTCCAGGAGCTTCCTGTTTGGAGAGTGCGCTGTGATTCCCTCCTCGGGACTAGATGTCCCATAATTTCTTTAGCCGTCACGCATGTGCGCTTGCACCACCAACACTTCATTGCTATTCCTCTAGGCTGCCTGTGCATGTACGGTCAAGGCAGCGCCAGCCGGTATACCATCTGCGAGCACGTATGGGAACTCCGAGGAAACTCCATAGGAGCAAGGAGCCACCCTTACACTAGAAATCAAGGCCAGAGATGGGGTGATACTGGTGAAATGAGGAGACGGGAATAAAGAAGTTCATAAAAAGCAGCACACAATATAAGTCCTATGTTCAGCATCTCAATTAGCAAAAAATGAATTAGGATTTAATATCACTTTAATAAAGGATGGCAATTTAAATATTTTCCCAATACAGTTTATATTACAGTCTATTTTTTTTTATATGATCTGTGTATTAGCAGGCCTAGTATGTTATGGTCTCAGATGGTGAAACATATAATGTGGTAGAGGTCATATTGTTGCAGCTTGTATATGTTGGTGTTCTGAGACATTGATCTCTTTACAAGCTATATTTTACTATGCTATTGATGTGGTGTAAAGGTAACGCTCGCTAAATTCAGGGGTTAAACCCAAATGCAAATATTAAATATATTGCAGCTTACTAGTCCTTAAAGTGGACCTTTAGCCCCTTTCACTAAAATCACATCAGCATTCAGCTCTGCATGCTGATATGAAATCATCTTACACTCATTAGTTAAAAGATGTATTTTCCTTTTACATACAATTTGTTTTTTTTCCACTTCCTGATCCTCTTGGGCGTTAGTGATGTAGCACATGCCTAAGAGATGCATCCTGGGAAGGTTACATCAGCAGTGCATTGCTGGGAAACCTCATCTGTAAACTGCAAAATCTCACAAGATGTCAGGGAAAGGCATTTCCCCCTCCCCCCCCCTCAGATGATGTTCATGGTCACATGTCTTAGTCACATGTGCCAGAGCTCCAGGAAATAAAGGCATATGGATTAATCTGCCCTTAGTAAAAAGGGCCACCATGAGAAAACTGGGGAGGAAAAGGAAAAAAAAAAGGTATGCAAATAATAAAAAGACCGGCAATTATCTATAAATATCTACTTTCTTTCCTACATGTAGGGAAACTGTAATGTTTTTTGGACAATTTTACTTTAAAAGTTTTTATATGTAGTTTAAAGTGCAACTGAAGCCGTTTTTTTTTTAGTTTTGGATAGAGTGAAGAGGGATTAGAACATCTATCAAGTTTTTATTGCTGTCTGTGTCCATTAGTGAGATTCTCCCTTATTATCTGTTCTGGTTACCATTATCACTAAGGGTTCGTTCACACCATAGGGCAGTGCGTTCCGGTCAGAATCAGACCGGAACGCACTTCCCGCATTGAGGACGGCTCACCTTTTTGCCAGGCTCGAGGGGGAGTGGCAGGCCATTGAAGTGAATGGCACCATAGCCACGCCCTGCGGGCGCAATGCGATCGCTCGCACGGGATCGCAAGGCATACTGTGTCTGCAGTGCGGTCCGGTGTGATCAAAATACTGCTTGCAAAAAAGTGAGCCGGCTGCAATGCGGGCAGTGCGTTTCGGTCCGATTCTGACCGGAACACACTGCCCTATGGTGTGAACAAACCCTGAAAGTGAAAGAAAATTCCAAATTTTGTGTTGTCTCTAGAACAAGATTTGATGGGAAATTTTCCGGTGGGGACACTAGTTCTGGTGACCATTCTGAACACCAGGGATTTCCTCACGTTGGAGGGATTTTCTCTCATTTCTTATTGTGGCTATCAAACAGTGAAGTGATATCTCCCAAATGGGGCACAGATGGCAAAAAGCTGACAGGTTGTTATAACCCTCCCTTACTCTATCCAAAACCCCCAAAACTGTTTTGGATTAAATTTTACAGAAGCCTGATTAGGGCTTTAATATCAAGTGCTCTGCTTTTACGTTCCTATGTAATGGGCCTTTACAACTGTTTCCAGTTCAAAGGATAACCTTGGCTTACTCAAGCAATACAAGCTGAACTCATAGAGGCCATGTCTCTTTATTCTTCTTGTATATAATTAACACTCCTTTTGTATATTTTTTTTTTTTTCTTTCAAGGTACCAAGATTGGTGGAAGGTCTGACTGGTCACCCTTGTAGTCAGGTGGCTGCTGCCAAGGACCATACCGTAGTATTGACAGAGGATGGATTTGTGTACACATTTGGCTTAAACACTTTTCATCAACTAGGCATATTACCTCCCCCTTCAAGCTGTAATATTCCTAGACAGGTATGAGTACTTCTTTTGTAGGCATTGATTTGATCAATTGCTTACCATGTGGTGTGCCATGATAGTAACAGTGCGTCGAACAGTAACAGCAGTGTGATAATGCCAATAAGGCAATAAGGTAAGCCTTGGGTTAACAGATTTCAGGGTCAGCAGATTTTTTTTTGCACTCATCAAACAAATATCAAAAACGTTTTCAATGGCATATTTAACGGGCCAAAAAGGGAACAAATAAGCAAGTTCATTGTTATAGTTTACATCCACTTTAATGCTGAACACCAAGGAGTTTAGTTATGTATTCAGTAAAAAACATAAAAGGCATTTTTGAGTGTACCTGGGGTAATACTAGTGTTTTATTTGATTTCATT